GAGGGATTGTATTGCCTGTTAAGAAAAGACAACACAACTTTCTTTAATGGAATTGACTCTTCGTGAATCACACAATTTAATTCTTAAATTTCATACATCTTGGTAACCTGAGAGTGAAATACCGAGTAGAAAATTTTAGTTTTTGGCAAAGACTTTTAACTCTTTTATTTGTATATTTAATGATCGGAGTCCACTTAAAATGATCAAGTCATGTCCGTACCGTGAAGTAGACATTAGGAGAAGGTCAAATTCATGCGAGATTATTGGGGTGACTTTGTGACCTCGTAGCTCCTCTAGTTTTGTGCGCACAAGTAAAAAAAGAACACATATTCGTTAAATATAGAAATTCAAAACATTCTTCTCAATAGAACTCTTCATTAAGATAAGTCATGATTGTAAACATATAAGATTGCAATCAGTTCGACGTGCATTTTATTTAGTTTAAAAACATATTTATTTATCAAACTTACCTTCAATCTTCAAATTTGCATCAAATATGCATTTTTATGCATTTTAAGCAAAACAATTAAAATCAGTATTTCGTTCGAAGTTATCCATTTCCCAAACAAAATTCTAACTTGAAAATATTTTATTGATTTTATAAAAGGCTATTTGATTTAATTTAAAGATAATTATTCAATCATTAACACTGATCGTTTAAGATTTTATAAAAACTAAAGCAGTTTCATTTTGAAAATTGTTCAAATCATCCATTAACTTAAATTCAGTTCAAAAATATTGACTTTACTTTCAAAGTTGCAATTGACAATATTAAAAATAACGGTTTTTAAAACAATCAAATGAACATCTCGTTATTCTTAAGAAAAAAGTTTCAAAGTCCTATCAAATAAGATTGCTAGTGTAATCTCAAGAATATCCGGAATGTACAGTGAGAACCAGAAAACTGTGAAATAGGAAGACTATATTAAAATAATGGTAAAGTGTATTTGATGTTTTTACAGAGCAAATACTTATTAGATCACTTTTTATGAATCGTTTACAGTTTACACTACTGTCTCCCATGTCCATTGAACTATATTTAAGGGCATTACAGAGGTGTAAAGGGGTTCCAAGTGATTCCTGGACATTTATAACGCCGTGATCTAGCGTGTTTTCTGATAAAGTAATTCAGTCTTTACCATAAACTGATTATCATATTTTTAGCGGAACCATCATACAATATTATTTTGTATTTTGTGTTTGAAATAAATAATTATGAAAAAATCCCTATATTTATCTTAGACTAGTTTTTTTCTTATTTTCTTTGGAAACTCTCCTCATCAATATTTTTGTTTGAAGCCTCACTGATGTAAAAAAAACCTGTTAAAAAGCAGATAAAAAAAATCCCTAACTTTACCATAAAGTAAACAAATCTGTCATCTTGGATCCTCAATGTTTAATGTTTACTTTTCCTGCCTGATCTTGTTCATCAGGGTGAAAAGTATTGATTTTTTTGCAACGAACTCAATTTTTCTAAGCCTTATATCTTTGAAGCCTGATGATGTAAACCGTTGATATTTCGAACTTTTTAAAAATAATATTTCGCTGGCGCTGGATTCTCGAACATTCCTGGAAAATATGAAAATGTCGTCTTCTTTATCAAAACTCCTCGAAACAGGAATAAATGTTTTGAAAAGTAGCTTTCAGATCATGAAAGAAAAAAAGTTATTATGAAATATCAACTAAAACGAATGCGTCAAAAAATAATCGATGACTGTTGTTTGTGATATCTGAATGATTTGTTTTGAATTAAATTGATTTGTATACGATCCGAGTTGAATGTTGCAACTTTCTGAATTTGTATGGACACCACGTTCTTCGGTGTGAGTCGTTTTTAACAATTTTCTCCTGATTGACGCAACAGATAGAAGTAAGATATAGAAGCAATCAAAAGCGTGTATTTTTTTTCATTTTTCGCGAACACTCCCTTTAAAGACATTTTCTTTTCCAGAGTTTCATGGTTCTCACTGCAAAAATATCCAAACAAATACACAGTTATTCCTGTTTTTGATTGAGGCGCTTTGAGGGCGGAAAGATGTTTAGGTAATCCTGCGAAAAATTGAATTATCTCTAATTTCTAGGTTTATTTATATATAGTAAGTTAATATACGTTAAAAATAAACGATTTTTTTGTTAAAAAAAACAATTACTTCATTACATATCAACTAAGAATAAAGATCACCCCCTCAAACTAGTTAAAATGAAAAATACGAACAGATGTAAATTATAAATTATGCATAGTTTGGTGTTCTTTATCTTTACATAGAAGCCCTAGACTATTAGGATTTTAAAGCAACTTATTTAAAATCTCATTTCAAATTTGTTAACATTCTTTACGAAAAATTATTATTTATTTCTTTGATATCAAGGTCGTGCACACGTATTCACGCAAAAAGATAAGAATTTTTTCAAATCATTGATTCACGCATTCAGTTCAGTTCATTACGTTTTCATTATTACAGAAGAGAAAAGAAAAAACTGTTTTTTTTTTCTGGAACATATTTCAAAATAACCTTCTAATTTAAACGTGGCATTAATGATTTACAAAACGACCAGCTCAATCTGAAAAACAATTAATTATTGCTGTTTTGTTTTCGTTATTTTTCCTGGAAAAATCCACAAAACATTCAGTGACTATTCATACAATTATGAAAATGCCTAATACCCTTGAAACCTTTATCTGATCAATATAATGTTACGTTTAAAACTGTTAAACTCAAATTATTCCTATTTATAATCGTTGCACAATTGAAAATAAAATTTTTTTCGAAATTATTATTCTTGGTTTATAATTTATCAGACATCGCTTTGCGGGGTATTGTTGTAAATCGTACATTGCCATCTTTGCTCGGAGGGTTACTTCATAGTATTCTTACAATCCCTTTAAAGGGGCTAAAGAGGTGCATTTTTCAGGGACTTTTCATTTAAAATGGTTCCATTGCAACCTTAATTCATCTGATTAAAAATGTGGAAAATAAAGTCTTTTTTTAGTTTTAAAATTGTTAAATTCTGTTAATTTCTTCATTGTATCTGAAGTAAAATACGCATGTCAGTTTTATTCAGAAACCACAACTGAAAATGATTAGTTTTTAACAAACAAAAACATGGATATCTACTTTATCCTTGATCAAACAATGGTTTTCAATGGTATTGTTGTTAATCGGACTTGACAATCTATTAATAGAAAAAAAAAATTTTCGGCCGATCCCGTGAAAGGGATCGCAGCTTTCTGTTTTGAATTTGTAAGATTGCTTGCTTGCTCTCCACATTTTATGATGAAAACATTAAATTCTTTCGTTTACATTGCAACCAACAATATAACATTAATGGAACTAAACAAGCTAAATAAAAACCAAATTAAAACTTTTTTTTATTTCAAGCATTTATTCTTTATATTTGAAATTTCACTGAAATAAAATCGATTTATAAGAAATATGACAAAACAGATTAATCTTTATTTTTAATAAGTAAACTCTGTTTTTCTGTTTTATGTCAAGATCACAACTTTAAACCGATTTGCCTCAAATTTTGACTGGTGAACTTGAAAAAACCATGCGGAATATTCATAGCATGGTTTGGTTTGAATTTCAATTTAAGTGGGTTGGTTTTTTCTTGGTTTCCCAAGCTAGTAAACAAATGAAATATAATTTTTATTAAATTAAAGTTTAAACATTTTTCCTCGAAAATACAAATTGAAAATCTTTTTCACATTGAAAATCTCTTTCAATTTGTATTAATTGTATTTAACTTGAATTTATTTTTTTAGTTATTAAATCTTATCGAAAATAGTCTAAAATAATCTGAAATAATCTGAAAAACTCTAAAATAATCTAAAATAATCTGAAATAATCTGAAATAATCTAAAATAATCTGAAATATTCTAAAATAGTCTGAAATATTCTGAAATAACCTGAAATAATCTAAAATAATTTGAAATAATCTGAAATAATCTAAAATAATCTGAAATAATCTGAAATAATCTAAAATAATCTGAAATATTCTAAAATAGTCTGAAATATTCTGAAATAATCTGAAATAATCTAAAATAATTTGAAATAATCTGAAATAATCTAAAATAATCTGAAATAATCTAAAATAATTTGAAATAATCTTAAATTATCTAAAATAATCTGATATAATCTGAAATAATTTGAAATAATCTGAAATAATCTGAAATAATCTGAAATAATCTAAAATAATTTGAAATAATCTTAAATTATCTAAAATAATCTGAAATATTCTAAAATAATCTGAAATAATCTAAATTAATCTAAAATAATCTGAAATAATCTGAAATAATCTGAAATAATCTAAAATAATTTGAAATAATCTTAAATTATCTAAAATAATCTGAAATATTCTGAAATAATCTGAAATAATCTGAAATAATTTGAAATAATCTGAAATAATTTGAAATAATCTGAAATGATCTAACTGCTGTACAATGTACATGATTTATCAGAGAGAATATATTATTAAGAATATTTAAGTTGTTGTTCTTGTATTAAAAAAACTTACCATTTGGGGAAAAGTAAAATACTAAACATCACACGATAGTCCTTATTTAGCATGAGTATATTAACAAACTGAATGTTAAACTCTAATTGGTTGGAAGTAAACTCGAAATTGATGGCTTCTGACTAAAAAAACTGAGATCAGAGAACTTGTGTTTATATTTTCAATATTTAACACTGGATCTCGATATATATTTAATGTGGGCACTTTTAAATTTGATAATTAATGCTTGATGCCTCAATGAAAGTTATCCCAGGTGGGTATAAATACCACGGGATATCTATGCTTGATCCACGAGATTTAGAACAGAAAACTTCTGAATTCTGAAAATCATTATAATCTGATGGAGGATGGATTCGTTAAACGATTTTATTTTAGTTTCTGATAAAACTTTTTTTATATGAAAAAATTAAATTGTGCATTTGTTTTAAGATCCGTGAAAATGAATCCTGATATCTAAGAAGGAAGGACCTGGAGACTATGGAGGAAGATATCCTGGATTCTCCGACAGAAACCAAACATATGCCTCCTTCTCCTTCTCAACCCATCCTCTCTCCTCACTCCTCCACCTCCCAGCACGTTACCCCAACCCACTCCCAGCACGTTACTACAGTCCCCTCCCAGCATGTTACCCCAGCCCACTCCCAGAACGTTACTCCAGTCCCCTCCCAGCATGTTACCCCAGCCCACTCCCAGAACGTTACTCCAGTACCCTCCCGGCACGTTACCCCAGTACAGTCCCCGCACGCTCCGCCTCTACCTTTCCAAAACATGCATCCGGAGGATTTTATGAAACCTTTAGAGATAAACGAAGAAGAATCAGTGCTCCCTACTCCCAGGTACACCAGGATAATACATTACACTCTATACTAAACGCTACTTTATCTTCGGTTTGTGTACTATAAATTAGTCCTCCTTTTTTCCCAGATTTTAACGTGGAGATTTTAAAGTGTAAAAAGCATTGTGTGTTTCCATAAATGAAATTGTTGTAATGAATTCTATTTTAAATCGTTTCAATGCAGAGTTTCAGATTTATATCGGAGAACCGTAATTCCTGCAAACCATTTCTTTTGACATTTAAGCCTCCAATCTTTAACGGAACCAGTGGATACTAGAATTCAAGCAAAATTATGCCTAAACTTAAAATTAATAGGATAAAATTATTTGAGACATAAATAATAATATTTTAAATATGTCCCAAATGATTTATGATGTACAATATAAAANATTGATGATTGACGTAAAGATAAGTAGATTATATCCAGTTACAACTGAATTTACAACTGGACAACATTGCATAGTTTATAGTATGAATATTGAATAAGTAGTAAGTGCATGTTTACATCTATATCTTTGCAACTTAATGTCGTATGACCTTAGTTATTTCAAACTATGAATCATCATCATTACGTTGCAAATCTATAGAAATTTGACTATTTGAGTTTGTGGCAAAGACTCATTTCTTTAAAATTAATTATATAAAATTCTATATTTTTAATCTCTGTTTTGGAGGAAATTATACGCTCACTAAAACAGACTCTAACATAAAATAGTTTAGTTAACCTGTTAACGTACGAATCGCACACCAGCTTTTATTTTTTTTCAGAAATACGTACACCATTTTTAGTTTTAAATAACTTGTAAATTATAGTTATTTCTTTGATGATAGATATATACATTCCATTCCCATTATTTAATTCTTGGTAACAAGGTTTGTCTTAACTGAGACAGAAACTATGGACTGTGTATGTTGTTTATAATAAAGATTATTTTTGTAGACTTTTGTTCGTCAGATCATTTTTAAACTATTAAATGATCGTTAAACCCTTTTGTTTTAATTTAAAAACGAAAATAAGGATACAACAAAAATTGTTAAAAAAAAATGTATTTCAGGGTGAGACGATTAACTAGACATCACACCCTCAAATACTCAGGGGGAGCTCTTCATGATCTAAATCAATCACCTTCCTTCGATCATACTCATAATCAATCAAATCAGTTTAATCACTCACAAAATCAATCAGCTTCCTCCGATCGAACAAAAAATCAATCGGCTTCCTCTGATCAACCGAAAAATCAATCAGCTTCCTCATATCGACCGAAAAATCAATCGGCTTCCTTTGATCGAACGTTTGACCCTCCTGCTTCCAAACAGCGTATATTCTCCCCTCGGCAGAGTTCTCTTCAAGAACAGGTACATTTTAGACAAAAGTATTTTTAAATTTAATTTTCTTATTTATCCAGCTTATCCATTAAATTATAATTATCCATAATTATCGAATAAATCATGTTTTTAGGGAGAGAATCTTTTTGCAGTTTACATTTTTCAATTCTAAGTGGGAACATTTGAAATGACTATAATAAGTTAAACTTTTTCTCCTCAATATCTGAGGTCTAACTGATCCATCATCAGTAAAATTTCCCAAACTATTAATTTGAGTTAGACCAATTTCAAGATCGGTTAACCTACCCACAGGCCGCAAGGACAGTTCAACTAAGTCCATCCATTTTTTAGTTCAAAGCTCTGCTTGGGTTCCGTGAAGATTTTATTTTTACAAACAAGCACTATTTTCTCATTTTTTTGTGAACATTCTTTCCAAATAAATATAGTCTAAAATACTCTTTTAAAATTATTTCTTAAATCTGTTTTTAAAGACATTTTTTTCACTAGGCCTTAAAAAGGGATTCCTAAACCTTCAAACATGGATTTCTTAAACCTTCTTATATATGTCGAGTCCTATAATGAAGGATTCTCAAAACCTTCTGATATTTGTTAGTTCCGAAACCTTCAAAAATGGGTTACTAAAACCGTATAATATGGGTTTCTAAACCGTCTAATATGGGGTTCTTAAACCGTCTAATATGGGTTTCTAAAACCGTCTAATATGGGTTTCTAAAACCGTCTAATATGGGTTTCTAAAACTGTCTAATATGGGGTTCTAAAACCGTCTAATATGGGTTTCTAAAACTGTCTAATATGGGGTTCTAAAACCGTCTAATATGAGTTTCTAAAACCGTCTAATATTGGTTTCTAAAACTGTCTAATATGGGGTTCTAAAACCGTCTAATATGGGTTTCTAAAACCGTCTAATATGGGATTCTAAACCTTGTTTAGGTGGCTTCAAAAATCTTATCATATGGGTTTTTAAAACCTTCTAAAATGGGTTCCTGAAACCTTTTTATTTGGGTTCCTAAAACTTTCTAATATGGGTTCCTAAAACCTTCTATTATGAATTCCTAAAACCTTCAATAATGGGTGCCTAAAATCTTCTATTATGAATTCTTATAACGTTCTAATATGGTTTTCTAAAACGTTTAATATGGGTTCCTAAAACCTTCAAATAGACTTTTAAAACCGTCTTTTATGGGTTCGTAAAATCGTCTAATATGGATTTTAAACCAAATGGCTTCAAAAACCTTCTTACAATGGTTTTCAAACCTTCTAATTAAGACCTTAAAATGTGGATTCCTAATGGATAGAAATTGAATCCATGAATATTAATCAAAATTTGAATTAACTTAATTAATTCAATGAACCTTTTATCCCAGCAGAGGCTCAGAGCTGGGAATTTAAGAGTGTAAAATCGTGTAAAACCGAAACTTCCCGGTATCCATTTTTGGGGTTCATTAATTTGTGTAGATTTTAATATTTACATTTTTGTAGATTCAAGAAACAAGATAACGATAGAATAATCATAAAGAAATACTTCTTGTCAAAAATATTAGTAATTGCAATCCACGAAGCTTGGTTTTTTATACTAAGTTTCATAATTTTTAGGCACAGGAGGGTTTAGAATAATTTTTTCTTTTTAAAGATTAATTAAATTTGTATTTATGTTTATTTTGAAACCTTTTTTAATTTTGTTTTAATTATATAGTTTTGCTCTATTTACTGGAGTTCATGTTAAAGGATAAAAACATTTATAAAAAATGTAGACTTCTAAGAAATTTTTTACTTATTTTAGTAACTTGTCTTTCCGGAGTTTATCAGGGCACCTTCCTTGGATCGCTAAACTGAAATAATTTTAACATTTTTGTATTTATATATTTATATATTTTATATTTCTACTTTAACGGAAGGTTCACACTTTTAGAATTTTGAATTAGGACAAATAGAAAATAGCTTACTTTATATGAAGTTGGGTTTTCGGAAACGAATAATTGTTGAAAATTTCACAAATAGTCAGAATTTATCTTGCCTTTCTTTTCATGTTTTATATCCAGTAATTCCTGGAAGATCTATTCATGTTTTATATCCAGGAATTCCTGGAGGATCTATTCATGTTTTACATCCAGGAATTCTAGGAGGACCTATTCATGTTTTATATATCCAGGAATTCCAGGAGGACCTATTCATGTTTTATATATCCAGGAATTCCTGGAGGACCTATTCATGTTTTAAATATCCAGGAATTCCAGGAGGACCTATTCATGTTTTAAATATCCAGGAATTCCAGGAGGACCTATTCATGTTTTATATATCCAGGAATTCCAGGAGGACCTATTCATGTTTTATATATCCAGGAATTCCAGGAGGACCTATTCATGTTTTATATCCAGGAATTCCTGGAGGATCTCTATTCATATTTTGTATCCACGAATTCCTGGAGGACCTATTCATGTTTTATATCCAGGAATTCCAGGAGGGTCTTTTCATGTTTTATATCAAGGAACTCCTGGAGGATCTATTCATGTTTTATATATCCAGGAATTCCAGGGGGATCTATTTAGGTTTTATATCCAGGAAAGTCTGGAGGATCTTATATTCATGTTTTATATCCAGGAATTCCTTTTTATGTTTTATATCCTATCCAGGAATTCCTGGAGGATCGAAATGAAAGAAAATTATCAAGAGAGGGTAGGCGACAAGCCAGACATACTTCAATAAATGATGAAGACGACTTAGGTAGGATAATAACGACATATAAGTAGATTATCATATAATGATGATGATTATCTAAAATGACTATTTGGATGATACGATAAATCATCATGATACCGTTATTGATAATGATAATGTAGAAAATGATGATGATGATGATGAAGATAATGTTATTAATTTTGATAATGTTGATGATGATGATAATGATAATGTTAATTACGATGATGAAGATGATGAAAATGATGATGATGAGAATGATGATGATGAAAATGCTGATGATGAGAATGATGATGTTGAGAATGATGATAATGCTGATGAGGAAGATGATGATGATAATTATGATGAAGATGATGATGAGGATGATGATGATGAGGAAGATGATGATGATGATGATAATATTGATGATGATGATGATGCAGAGGACCGAGTACAGTCTGAAGGGAGTATGCGGTATAAGCTACCGCCTCTTGTTAATGTCGAGGATGATCGGGCCTCCCTTAGGTGAGCAGAACTTAAAGGGACTCTAGGGGTAATTTCACATTACCAACTTCTTACAATTTCACATTACCAACTTCTTACAATTTCACATTACAAACTTCTTACAATTTCACATTACCAACTTCTTACAATTTCACATTACCAACTTCTTACAATTTTATTTCTGATGTCCAACAAGCGTACCATAATCGCAGTAAAGAATTTAAAGAATTCCTCGTGTTCTGTATTCGTAAGACATAATTATAGAGAACCTGCAATGGAAAATTATCCATTTTTTGATCGAAAAATAATGATTCTTCCATCAAAGAGCAAGTCATTTTTAATGGATGGTTTCGTCTACAGTCTCTTTAAGACTGGAACAGCTGTAGATTTTTTTTAACCATATATTTGCAGGCTTTCAAATTGACTTGTATAAAAATATAAAAAAGTATGTAAAATTAATAAAATTTACTTTCTTTGTAAAGCTTTTTTTTGTGGAACTTCTGAAAAGTTATAAGAAAAAATACAAAGATGTTAAAAATTTTAAAAAAGTGCTAAAAAATGTGTCTTAATTTTATCATTTTAAAGAATCAAAATTTGTAATGCCTTATTCAACAAAATTTGTTAACAAAACCGGTTTTTATATTTAGTTAAACTAACTTGAGTTGAGACAATGCCTAATCAGTCTGATTCAAACCACAATAATTTAACAATTAAAGTTTCATAGATAAAGTGACTGACGTTGTAAATTCACAACAGTCAAATTTTAACCCTTATTTGATCATTAATGAGGAAGACATCGTCATATTTTTGTTTGCAAGTGTTTAATTTGGAAAATTACCTGGACATTTTTCTGTAGCGTATAAATCTGCTAATAAATTTTTCAGAAACATCTTGTATTAAAAAACAATCAATCCTCAAAAAATGTAACAATCCAAATTGTTTGAAAGTCTTTTCTATATGTATAGAATGCACAGCTTCAAAGTAGGAAATATATTTCGATGTTTTTTTAAATCATCATCAGTCCTAAGACAGATTAATTTGACTAATAATAATATAGAAATTTAGTACACAATTATTAAAAAAAAAATTTAAACGAAAAGACAAAATATTTTTGAGAAAAGAAATTTAAAAAAGTAAACCGGAAATGCCACACTAGAAACGGAAGATCACTTGTAAGTATTGGTACTGTTTTAATCTAAACAAGGTACACAAATTGTTATTAAGAAAGCATTAAAGAATGTTAAAAATATCCGTAAAAAATATAATATTTACGAGGAACTTTTTGTATGTGTATTAGAAACTGTAAAAAGTTGCTCTAAACTAAATTAATTAGATGTTTTTAATGTCTTCTATCCACGGTCTTTGTCCTTTAATATTTGAAATGTGTTCTCAAATCGTAATTTTATGTTCTTTATGTTCTGTATTTGTTATTATAAATTCTTAAACTTTATTGTTTAGAGCACGATGCATCTCGTTCGTTTATTTTATTTGGTTGGTTTTGGTTTACAAGAAACAGATTTTTTTCTTCTCTTTATCTTTGGAACTGGATGTCGGAGATTTTTAATAGTTTCAAACTATGAGCTCTGTTAGATCAAATTAGATTCTTAGTTTAAAATACACTATCAGGTTGCGAATTTAGAGAATAGAAAATTTGGGGTTGTCGCAAAAGCTTACAGTTCCCTTCGGGTGTTTATAATCACAATCTTTTTTTAAATATGCCGTTCTTGCATAGTTCAGATTCGTTGTTTTTCACCTTAAATAATTCACATTTTGCACAAAGCTTATTTAAGCTGAGAGCAAAAATGTCGATGAATCGCAATATTTTCTTAATTAGTTCCTTATTTTCTGCACTTTGTAAAGATTGCCACATTTGCAAAACCCTTAATTACTTCTAAAAGAAAATTCAAATAATCAAGAAAAAATTAAAATATTTTCATCCGTTTACATTTAAAAATAAACAATAAGAGTTTCTTTTTTTTTTATTAGGCTGAAAACTTTGTGGCAAGTATTCAATTCTTTTTAATAATAAATAAATCAAATTTTTAGGCTTCCAAGAACCCGTGGTTCCTACTCACTATCTAGGACGGAAAGAAGGTTTATTTTCTTATTCAATATTATTTAATTTTTTGAGACTTATTCTTCACTTATCTATTGTATTCTATAAGTAACGAAATAGTGTTGAATATACGAACCATTATAGTTTCCTACCAATAAAAAGAATTGCTGCTTATATGGCATTTATGAATATACTTTGCTTGCATCAGGCTCAAAATTACTAAAATTTGTGTCCAAAAGTTTTTGACTGTTCTAAAATTTTTAAAAATGAGCAAACAAATATTATAAGATCCGCCAATTTTTTGCTTTTGTTTTATATTGTACAAAGAGAAGATTCGCTTAGATAGAGCCACAATAAAAAGAAAGCCTAGTATTGGTCCTGAAACACGTCAGACACGGGATAGCACCGAAAGATATAATAATGAGAAGTTGTTGAACTAGATACGGAAAGTCAAACTAATGTCGTTACTCTGGGGCATCGATTTAATACATAGCTAGTATTAGCTGAACCGCGCAAACGTAGATCAACCACTTCTGCACCAGCTCAAGCTGAAGCGAATGTTGATAGATATATATAGATATATCATGTAGATACGTATTTCTTGAATCAAAGAAAGGTGCTTTTCATAGCTATGTTTTTTACTTGCTACGTTATTTACAATAATTAATTAGTTCAGATTTTGGCATTTAAGAGCAAATCTGCAAAGATTTTAGAGTACCGGGTTACTATTGAGTTTGACCAATTGAAATATCAAAAAGTAAAATTTTCAATACTTTTTCTCAAATTTTGTCCAATGTGGAACGTATTTTTTAAAATTTCATAAGGATTGAACGATGCTTTTGTTGGGGTATAATCATCATAAAAAATCAAAGTTTTTCACTTTCTCCATAGCCCCTGGCCCCTCTAGTAAATTGAAACGCAGAAACATAAATGTCTTAATTCTATTGTAATCTTTTATACACAGTTTAATTGTCACTCTTAAGTCTTAAGACCATGATTTATAAAATTTTATATTTTCAATTTAATAATTAAATTAATCTTTAAAGTAAAAAATGATTAAAACTATTTCTAATTTGATTAAGTAGGATTAAATTCCAAAAATCACACAAAGCACAATTCCAGAATTTAATTTAACTATTGGATTTATTCAAATAAAGATTTTTTTAATTAAAAATGTATTTTAGGGGAGATCAGAGTGATGAGAATAGAGAGAACTCTCCCTCTTTCAAACCTTCTCTACTTGTAAGTTATTTTAAAAAAATATTTTTTCATAAAATAGCTGAAGGGTCCCCCGGCATTGCCCGTGAAAAAAAATTAAAATTAAAAAAGTAAAATTAACTTAAATGCCATTCCCAGGCTACCCATGAGAGTCCCAAAAAAATGTTAGCCCATTCGGTCCAGCCGATTGGCCGGTCAGAGGGACCCATATATGAAAGTTTTGTTTTATTATAAAGATAAAACAAGTTCCCTTAATATTAAAATACGTTGAGTGAACAAATCGTGTTGAAAACTTGAAAATAATAATAAAAAATATATAAGTTAGATAAATGTTTTAAAAGGTATTTATAATTGATCAGACAACGCTTTAAAGGGTATCGTTGGGTATGGGACATCTCACACTCCCGGTATCCATGGAGGATTACTTGAAATTACGTTGCATTGTAATTTTCTTCTTTTTTAGCTTTTAGCCTTTTATTTTCATAAAAATGAAATTTTTAAACTATAAATTTCAAGTAAGTTTTCCCCTTCCCTTGCCTTCTCATTTAAACATAATGTTCAATGTGAATTATAACAAGATATAAATTTTAAGAACAAATTTAACTTAAAATGAACTATCTTAATATGTAAAACTCTCAAAATTCTAAATGTTCTAAGATTAAAGAAAAAGTAAACGTTTAAGTTTAAGATGAAGTTTTTTTTTTAAAGGGAGTGACCGGCTATGTAGGTAGTTGCAGTTGCAGTGTTGTGGAAAATTTCTTTCGGATTAATTTGAGACATATAAAACTTTTTAAAGATCTGTAAATCCTGAGTTTGAGCGCAAGTTCGACGTTCAAAATTCCTACTGTGGTGGTGGATACGTTTTCAGAATTAGTTTTTTTAATTATTAAATAATGACGACATAAAATGTAAAAAAAGTTCTGCAATTAACTACATACAGACGTCATGTTTAGGAACATGTTGAGAAAAAAAATTAATCTTATCATCGCAATTAAGTAACCTTGCTCAATTATTAGTTTCTATTTCTTCATTATTCTGGTTTCTCATTATTCACAAAGATTTTCGCAGATTTTCTAGAATTATTATTGAAAAGACGACAGTTGAAGAATTTGAAGAAATCTGCGAATAAATTATAAGAAGATAAGAAATTAAATATAATGATGAAAACGAAATAATCGATTTTAGCATTGATTTATTGACTAATTTCTTTTGAGAAATATGTTCCTAACCATAACTGTATAATTTTTACTTTATGTTTCGTTGTCGTTATTTAATAAATTAAAAAAACTAACTCTGAAAACGTATCAACCTCCAAAGTACGAGTTTTGAATTTGAGTATGTGGTAAAAACTCAATTCATTTCTTTACTAAATGTCTCTTTTTGGAATTTATACCAAAATCCCAAAAATAATTTAAGCTAGATTTAAAAATATTTAGTTTTTGTTGAAATAATCTTAAAAATGTAAACAATAATATTGATAATAAAAATAACAATAATATTGATAATAATGATAATAATAATACTGCAGGTTGTGAATCCTACAGTATTTAAATCTGCGTCTATGTCTAATATGTCTTCTATGTCTGGAATATCTGGAGACTCCACCAACTCTATCCCTGCAAGGAACCGGTTATACTGTTTACAAAACAAATCCTTTTTTTGATTTTCACCAGATTTGCAAATATTGTTTTTCAAAAGAAATTGACTCTTTGTCACAAACTAAGATTTCTTAATCCCTGTATCTTTAAAACCTAGCTTTGGACCTTCTATATTTTAAACTTTAGATCTCATGTTAGATCAGATAATCTAATTTTAAAATATCTATGGATTACTCAGATTGCAAAAGTACATTTCAGTTTGTGACAAAGACTTAATTCCTTTTAAACTATTTACAAATCTTCAAGTTCTTCTTTCACAAAAATGTTCATTTTGTTTAAACCATGAACTGTAAATTATTTAATCAGAAAATATATCTTTCATTCAAATTAGCAGTTTTGGGGTTCAAAACATAAATTTTATTTTTTGAAAAGTGTAATTCTTTTTGCATCCTATTATTTGTTCGACAAAGTCGAATTAAACAATTATAAAAGGTGATTATTAAGTTTTTTGACTGTTTAACCCCCCCCCCCCTCCTCTTGTGTATAAAAGTATATATGATATAGTGAGGCACGGAAAAGATCCTACCTGGTTGGTTCCGTTGGACCTACCTCACTCCTGGGAGTCCAGGAACTTGAGAAACAGTTCCCAGATAGAACTATTAGGTAATAAACAGTTCCAAGATAGAACTATTAGGTAGGAACAGTTCCCAGATGGAACTATTAGGTAATAAACAGTTCCCATGATAGAACTATTAGGTAGGAAACAGTTCCCAGACAGAACTTTTAGGTAATAAACAGTTCCTAGATAGTACTGTTCGGTAGGAACAGTTCCCAGATAGAACTATTAGGTAATAAACAGTTCCCATGATAGAACTATTAGGTAGGAAACAGTTCCCAGATAGAACTATTAGGTAGGAACAGTTCCAAGATAGAACTATTAGGTAGGAACAGTTCCCAGATAGAGCTATTAGGTAAGAAACAGTTCTCAGATAGAACTATTAGGTAATAAACAGTTCCCAGATAGAACTATTAGGTAATAAACAGTTCCCAGATAGAACTATTAGGTAGGAAACAGTTACTATATAGAACTATTAGGTAGGAACAGTTCCCAGATAGAACTATTAGGTAGGAAACAGTTCCTAGATAGAACTATTAGGTAGGAACAGTTCCCTGATAGAACTATAGGTAGGAACAGTTCCCAGATAGAACTATTAGGTAGGAAACAGTTCCCAGATAGAACTATTAGATAGGAACAGTTCCCAGATAGAACTATTGGTAGAAAACAGTTATCAGACAGAACCGTTAGGTAGGAACAGTTCCCAGATAGAACTATTAGGTAGAAAACAGTTATCAGATAGAACTGTTAGGTAGGAAACCGTTCCAAAATAGAACTAACAGGTAAGAAACAGTTCCATAAATCCATAATATTTGTAGGAACCTGGAATATAAACTATTTATATATACTTTGCTTGTCTGTTTAAGTAAGTTTGTTTGTATCTATTAATAAACGTCAAAACAGCTGAAGCGATCCAGATTTAGCCTGAGAACTCGCATGACCCAAAGAAAGGTTTAGAAATACTCATAAACCTTACATAAAGTTGTGACCAAAAGCTTTTGATTTTTGTGAAATCTTAAAAATGCGCGAAAAAATATTTGAAAATCCGCGACATTTTTTGCTGTTCCAATTTTACATTGTTCAAAGAGAAGATACTCACAGATATTAAAAGTTAAAATAGAGGATGGGCGTGAATGTTCCAGAATATTTGTTAGAACTGGGAACATGAACTACTAATATTTATTTTCCAGAATATTTGTTGGAACGTGGAACATGAACGGACAGATACCTCCCCGTCATCTCTGTGAGTTCCTGCTGCCGGCCAACCTACAGTATGTTCCTGATGTGCTTGTTGTTGGAACACAAGAAACATTTCCAGAAAAAACAGAGTGGGAGGTAAAAATAGTTTTTTTTTTAAGAATCATGTCTTGGCAACAAACTCTGATTTCTAATTTTTATGTTTTTTAGCAATCTGATGTCGTAGACCTTAGATATTTCAAAGTTTAAATTCTGTTAGATTAAACTGTCTAAGTTTTGGATAGCAAAGGTTTAAACCACCAAGTTACAAAGATATTAAGATTAGAAAATAATTTTAGCTTGTGGCAAGCTTGTAACAATTTATGTACATATTTAAAACTTCAAAGAAAAGCATTCAACACCTCTATTCCTCTTTTCAAAGAGTTTAAAAGGAAAGAATGAAAACGCTCTACTATATATTCTATTCAATTTGTTTCAGGTTCGGTTGCAGGATATCCTGGGTCCATTTCATGTTCTCTTTCATTCAGTATCTTTTAGTTTTGGATACAAGATACTCTGGGTCCATCTCATGTTCTCTTTCATTCAGTATCTTTCAGTTTTGGATACAAGATACTCTGGGCCCATCTCATGTTCTCTTTCATTCAGTATCTTTTAGTTTTGGATACAAGATACTTTGGGTCCATCTCATGTTCTCTTTCATTCAGTATCTTTTAGTTTGGGATACAAGATACTCTGGGTCCATTTCATGTTCTCTTTCATTCTGTATCTTTTAGTTTTGGATACAAGATACTCTGGGCCCATCTCATGTTCTCTTTCATTCAGTATCTTTTAGTTTTGGATACAAGATACTCTGGGTCCATTTCATGTTCTCTTTCATTCAGTATCTTTTAGTTTTGGATACAAGATACTCTGGGCCCGTCCCATATTCTCTTTCATTCAGTATCTTTAGGTTCGGTTACAGGATACCCTGGGTCCATCCCATGTTCTCTTTCATTCAGTATCTTTTAAGTTCGGTTATAGGATACCCTGGGTCCATTTCATGTTCTCTTAATTTCCTTCAGTATCTTTTAGGTTCGGTTGCAGGATACCCTGGGTCCATCTCATGTTCTCTTAATTTCCTTCAGTATCTTTTCGGTTGTAGGATACCCTGGATCCATCTCATGTTCTCTTAATTTCCTTCAGTATCTTTTAGGTTCGGTTGCAGGATACCCTGGATCCATCTCATGTTCTCTTAATTTCCTTCAGTATCTTTAGGTTCGGTTGCAGGATACCCTGGATCCATCTCATGTTCTCCTTCATTCAGTATCTTTAGGTTCGGTTACAGGATACCCTGGGTCCATCCCATGTTCTCTTTCATTCAGTATCTTTTAAGTTCGGTTGCAGGATACCCTGGATCCATCTCATGTTCTCTTAATTTCCTTCAGTATCTTTAGGTTCGGTTGCAGGATACCCTGGATCCATCTCATGTTCTCCTTCATTCAGTATCTTTAGGTTCGGTTACAGGATACCCTGGGTCCATCCCATGTTCTCTTTATTCAGTATCTTTTAGGTTTGGTTATAGGATACCCAGGGTCCATCCCATGTTCTCTTTCATTCAGTATATTTTAGGTTCGGTTACAGGACACCCTGGGTCCATCCCATATTCTCCTTCATTCAGTATCTTTAGGTTCGGTTTGGTTATAGGATACCCAGGGTCCATCCCATGTTCTCTTTCATTCAGTATATTTTAGGTTCGGTTACAGGACACCCTGGGTCCATCCCATATTCTCCTTCATTCAGTATCTTTAGGTTCGGTTACAGGATACTCTGGGTCCATCCCCATGTTCTCATTCAGAATCTTTTAGGTTCGGTTGCAGGATTCTCTGGGTCCATCCCCATGTTCTCATTTAGTATCTTTTAGGTTCGGTTGCAGGATACTCTGGGCCCATCCCATGTTCTCTTTCATTCAGTATCTTTAGGATGTCTTCATATCACCGTCTTCCTTAGGTTAGAAATAATACTAAAATTATATTTTATCTATTTACAGCCATCGAAAGAATTTATAAAATGTCGTCTTGACAATTTTTCACGGGGTTAGTACTATTTTACCTGAATCAATAATTGTAAAAATAAATAAATAACCATGAATTTGCGAAAAAAAGTTTTAAAGATCTCCATATAATTATTCACTCAAAAATCTGAATATCTTCAGCATTCCATTATCAGTAAGTTAAGAATACGACATTTTTTAAATTCTTTCGATTAATCCAAATTGCTCGGTTAAAGAAATTTGCTGCCACAACTTCGATTTTTCTAATCTGAATATCTAACGCAAATTGATAGTTTAAACCTTTCATATTTCAAATTTAGAATAATTGATCTGACAGAAATAAATATTTGAAATATGTAAGGGCTGCAAAAATATAAGGATTAAGAAATCAGATTTTTGGCAAATATTAAATTTCTTTGTGTGTTTAATGGTCAACGTGAACGTCAAAACTGCTAAACCAATCAGGTCCAATTGAATTGGGGCAACTCAAATGAACCTAGGACATGTTTATGGTGTCAAAATGAAAAAAAGGCCTGACAAAAAAATTCGACCGTTAAGATTTTTGAAGATCAACAAATGTAAATATAAAAATCCGCGAAAACTTGTGTTTATAGAGTACGATGCAAAAATGACAATTTGAAAAGTAAACGGTAAAATAATGTAGAAAAGAGGAACAAATCCTACAGGGTGTCCCAATAAACATGGGAATTCAGCATAGATAAAGATAGATTGCGCATAAGACGACATTTTTCATCTTGAAAGATATAAATGTATAGAGATGTTTTAAAGATATTCCTATTATATAGATTAACTAGGTCGGTTGTGAATATTGGCTGTTCTTATGTCATTGAGTACTTTTGGTGTGCATGAGTTCTGTAGAGAGAAATTTAAGTTAGTTTAGTCCTTCTCATGTACTTCTTCAGTTCTCGTCAATATGAAATATTGCACAGTGAAATATTGTTGTTCAAATAGTTCCATTATTTTACCCTCTTACCCTCTATTATGAAATTCATTAAAACACCAAACCACCCCGCTTATCATTGAAGCACACTTTGACCCTTAGAAGTATGAGTTCGTGGACTGTACAATTCTTGTTGATTTTGCGTACATAAGCTATCTATGTTTATTTTATTTATTTATCTATGGAATTCAGTGACGAATTCGATATCGCCTCTTTAAATAATTTAGTATAGTGATACCTGCTGAGAAAGCTGTAAACTGTAAGAGTTTCGTCTGCTATGTTTACAATTTGTTTGTTTACGCTTTGACTGCATACAGAGTACACTTGTCCATCCTCACTATTCATCTTGTGGAGACATTATAGACACATCTTTACAGCCACTTAGCGTTTTCATAAAATAAACTCTAGCAGACATACTAATATTATGGCCTTTGAAATTAGGCATTACCCGCATAGAACAAGCGACGCTGTTTTAGAGTCTGAAAACGACCCGCACGACCACAAAAAC